GATCCTCATTGGGTTTAAGTTATGGAGGATAAGTAGTCTGTTTTATAGAAAACTAGTACTTAAGAGGTGGTTCCTTTGCCTGTTGGTAAGAATCTGGTTGGTTGCAAATGGGTTTACAAAGTCAAGACTCATTCTGATGGTTCTCTTGAGCGCTAGAAAGCTCGTTTGGTTGCCAAAGGTTTCTTCTCACAGGAGTATGGTATTGATTATGAGGAGACCTTTGCTCATGTTGCCAAGATGACTATTGTTCGTACTTTGATCTCTGTCGCTACTGTTCGTTCTTGGCCTCTTTATCAAATGGATGTTAAGAATGTTTTTATTAATGGCCATCTCACTGAGGAGGTTTACATGCGTCCTTCTCCTGGCCTTCACCATTTCTCTGGACAGGTTTGTCGCATTCGGCGTGCTCTGTATGGTCCTCGTGCTTGGTATGATCGCTTTTAGACTACTGTTACTGAGCTTGGGTTTCATCCTTGCGCCCAGGACTCTGCTTTATTTCTTTTCCATACCTCTGCTGGATTTGTTGCGCTATTACTATATGTGGATAACATGATCATCACTGGTTCTGACTCTTCTGCTATATCTGAGGTCAAGCACCATCTTTTCCGTACCTTTGAAATGAAGGATCTGGGCTCATTGTGGTATTTTCTTGGTATTGAGGTAACTTCTTTTCCCAAGGGCTACTTTCTCTCTTAGGCCAAGTATATCAATGAGATTATTCATCGTATCAGTCTTACTGACATTAAGATTTCTGATCCCCCTATTGAGCTTAATGTAAAGCTCAACACTACTGATAGTGTTCTTCTAGATGATTCTACTCTATATCGATAACTCGTGGGTTGCTTATTCTATCTGACAGTTAGTCATCCTGATCTTGCCATGTGGTTAGCTAGTTTGTCTCTGCTCCTCGCCCCATACATTGGGCTGCCTTGGTTCAGATTATTCGCTATCTCCGAGGTATTATCTTTCAGGGTTTATTATTGTCCTCTACTTTCTCTCTAGATTTGGTGACCTATGCTGATTCTGATTGGGATGGTGATGTTACTGATCACAAGTCCACGCCTGGTTTCTGCATATTTCTTGGCGATTCCTTGACCTCTTGGAAAAGCAAGAAACAAACTATTGTTGCTTGCTCTACTACCGAAGCTGAGTATCGTGCTATGACTCATACTACTGCTGAAGTTGTCTGGCTTTGTTGTCTTCTTTCTAACTTGGGAGTCCCTCAGCCTTTCCCGATCTCCTTTTATTGTGACAATTGCAGTGCTATTCAGATTGCACATAACACTGTCTTCCATGAGTGGGCCAAGCACATTGAGATTACTTGTCACTTTGTTCGTCAGCATCTGTAGTCTGGATCTAGTTCACTTCATGTTGTCTCTTCAGCTCTGCAACTTGCTGATTTCTTTACCAAGACTCATACCACTACTCGGTTTCAATTTCTTCTTGACAAACTCTCAGTATTTTCTGCCCAAACACCTTGAGTTTGAGCGGGGGTGTGAGAATAATATTAGTATAGTATATATTATGTGAATATTGTTTTCTATTTAGGATTGGTTTAGGTTTATTTTTGTTTCCTATTTAGGATTAATGCTCTATATCTATTAGAATTCTATATCAGCGATGTATTCATTTAGGATTAGGATTTAGTGTTTTATATAAGTGATGTATTCTTTGTTCAGTAAATACAATTGAATATACATAAATTCTTCAAAATTCTTACAATATCTAACATTATGCCTGCTTGGCTACCATCATCTTGAGATATGGGGACTTGGCTACATGTATTTGGGCAAGTTATTCCCAGGAAGAGTGAAAAGATATTCTATTGTATGAACTCGAGGTTTATTCCATGATTTGTTAGCAATAGAAAGCGTTCCCCTTTTATGTCATGTTTATGGGTAGGCTTGTTGCACTTAAGGATCTAATTAATGTAAGCACAGACATGATGAGCTAGCTTAGTGAGCAATCAGTGAAGTTTGATTGGGATTTTCTATTTCCAAACCCATTTTATCAGCATCAAGCCATTAAATGTCTTGAACTTTATAGTTTGATTTTGTTGACGATCTAGATGTGCTTGAGATTGGTTGACCAGTTTGATTTATCTTTTTCATGTGAACATGCTTGCAATTTGTTTTTATGCTTGTATCTATAACTACCAGAGCAGTGTTTTATTCCTCTTTCTGAGAGCTGTTCTTAACTTGAAAAATTATGGAAGTCGTCTTCCTTGTATCTAATACTATTCAAATTGTTGCAACTTGCTATATGCTCTATTTTTAAAATTTTAATTCTTATATATTATTCAATCATGGGTATGGATTCACAACAAGATGGTTACTTTACCAATCTTTTACAAGAAAGGCCCAACATTGATGAACATTATCTGATGGAATCTCAATATTTGAATCAAAATACTCAAGTCTTTGCCCAGGAGTCTCAATTTATTGCTGAAATTGAATCTTTGTTGAAGAAACCTCAACGTGGAGGAAACTTTACAATAGAAGAAGACAAATTCCTTTTATCGGCTTGGCTTAATATTAGTTTAAATGCGGTACATGGGAATGGCCAAAAACGCTCTACCTATCGGAAAAGGGTGTGTGATTTTTTCCATGAGCACAAGAAATTTGAGTCTAATCAAAATGAGAATTTTCTTATGAATTGATGGTCAACTATTCAGCTTGCCATGAATAAGTTTTGTGGGTATTACGCCCAAATTGAATCTTTGCATCAAAGTGGCATAAATGAAGATGACAAGGTATTGAATATTGTACATTTACAATTATTATTATTTGTGAAATTGCTAAATATTATTTATTTATTTAATTTTCAAATTTGCAAGGCAAAAATTATGTACAAGGAACTCAAGAAATCTAAATTCCAATTCGAACACTATTGGAATATGTTAAGGGATCAACTAGAATGGGTGGTAGAGTCTGAGAAGAAAAACAACCAGAAAGACCACGAACAGGGACAGCCTCTTCTCCTTGTACTCCGGATTCGATAATTCTGGGGGAACACGATGTCTCACCTAATGCTTTTGTGGACTTGGAGAGACCAACCGGTAGGAAGGCTGAAAAGGAGCGATTGAATAAACGAAAGAACAAAGAAAGTGTACATTCGAGTATTACAAAGACTTTGGAGGACATCAAGGAAGACAAAAAGAAAATGATTGACAAGAAAATTGAAATGATTGACAAAGTATACATTCAAGAACAAGTGAAACTTCATATCATACAAGAAAAACATGAGGTGGAACTTGAAAAGCATGAAATGGAACTTTTCAAAGAGGACGAAAGAGTTCTTTTGATAGATCTCAGTGGCTTGTCGGATATCTAACAAGAATTTTATCGTGCTCGGCAAATGGAAATCATTAAGAAAAGAATAATGAATTAGTATTCATTCTCTCTTTGCTCCTTATGATATTGTGACTTTCGTTTAGTACGCTAGAAACTGGATATATGATATTTTGGTTTTACTAGTATTTTGGTTCTGCTTTCGTCTAGTATTACTTTTGGTTCTGCTTTTGTCTTGGATAGATGTTGAACTCAGTAATGTTTTGGCACGAATGATGGCAGTGTTAGTAGTCTAATCTGTTGTTGTTTGTGCTGTGTTATTGCCATTTTTGGACCGTTTTTTAATCTATTTTTGTTGCTATTTTGCTGGTATTTTTTGGTTGTTTTGCTGCTGTTTTTGGGTTGTTTTTGCTGCCGTTTTTGTGCTGTTTTTGTTGCTATTTTGCTAGTGTTTTTGCTGTTATTTTATGCTATTTTTGCTGCTTTTTTGCTACTATTTTACTGGTTTTGTAATCATTTTTTCCCTTTCTTTAATCTCCTTTGAGGAGTTTAACTGAAGTTTTTCTTTAACCATTTTTCCCCATATTTCCATTTCAGAAGTTTGAGCAGGATGTTGATTATATTCCAATGCCAATTGTTCAAATAGACCAATATTCAAATTCTAATGCAACAAATGTGCAAGTTAGCTTTGGAGATCGCCTTGGAGCTCTCATTGATACGGTGAAATGAATGTGACAATTCATTGGACATTTATAATTAAAATGAAAACCATATAATTACAAGGCATATAGAATTAAAATGAAAACCATATAATTAAAAGGCATATAGAATTATAAAATTACACATAAATCAAAAACATATACTGATTACACTCAAAACTAATAACATACTACATAAAACGCAACTTCAAATTCAAAGCTTTTACGACTCGCTGTGTAATTACCAAAAGTGTTCGACAAGGTCCGATTGGAGATGAGAATGTGTTTGCATGTCTTTAATGTTGTGATGACATTGAATGAATTCCATAAGTTCAGTAGTTCTCTCTTGTAACACTGTTACATGGGTACTGTCATCGATTTGATCATAATTGAAGTTTTTTGCTCCATTGTCATCCCACTCATCCTCAATGATTATATTATGTAGAATTATGCATGCCTTCATAATATATTTAAGCATTTTAGTATTCCAAAAATGTGCCGATAGACGCACAATTGCAAATCGTGCTTGAAGCACTCCAAATGCACGCTCTACATCCTTTCTTGTCGCCTTTTGAGCTACAACAAAAAGTTTTTTCTTATTTCCTTGAGGAGAAGGAATTGTTTTCACAAATGTTGATAATTGTGGATATATACCATCGGCAAGATAGTATCCCATTGTATATTCATTACCATTGATGGTGTAATTGACTGCAGGAGCACACCCTTGAGCAAGTTCGGTAAATACAAAAAACCTTTCTAGCACGTTGATATCATTATGAGACCCAGATAATCCAATCCAAAATAATTATTGGTTCATGAATGTGACCAGTATACATACCTTTCAACGCAGTTGGACAATTTTTTCATTTCCAATGCATACAATCAATGCTCCCCAGCATCCTAGGAAATCCACTACTTTCACCAACCGCTAGCAATTTAGCGATGTCATTGCTGTTTGGTGACCTCAAATACTCATTAGAAAAAATATCAACAACTGCTTTAACAAAATATTTTAAGTTTCTATTATAGTGCTTTCTCCAATTCTAACATATTTGTCTATAAAATCAATGGCTACTCCATAAGTAAGCATCCTAAGTGCAACAGTTATCTTCTGAAGAGAAGACAAACCAAGCTTTCTAGCACAATTTCTTTTTTGGATAAAGTATGAATCGTGCGCTTTTATTACAACTTGAATTCGAAGAAAAAGTGAACAATTCATCCGAAACCTCCTTCGAAATAGCTTAGGAGGATATACAGACGATTCAGCAAAATAGTCAAGAAAACGCCTTTCATGACCTTGAATATGGTCACGATGAATGACTTTACGACATCGAACAGAACCACGACGTGAGCTTGATCCTATCTCACTATCTAGTTGTTCCTCATCCATAGTAACAACTTTGAGCATCTCCAAATCATCATCAGTTTTAGAGAAGTCAGAGTTATTTACAAGCATATCATAAAGAGAATTAGAAGCCACAGAGAGAGATATATGGAAGTTTGGATGAAGTAGAAAATTGAGTTGAGAGTAAGATCAAATGAGAGGGAATGTCTTATTTATAATTTAAAAGTAAAAAAATATGACCGTTGTAAAGATATGACCATTGGACAAATATGACCGTTGTAAAAATATGACCATTACAAAAATATGACAGTTTGAAAAATACGATAGTAGAAAAATGTAACTTTCACAAAATATAATTATATTTAAAAGAACGAAAAAAAATAATTGTGAGGCCCTAACTTTTTGTAATGTCCCCAAACACTTATAGTTGAAGAATTTCAATAAGAAATCTTGTTTCTCCATTTCTTGCAAATTAAATCCTAGAAATCAGGAGCAACTGTGCGAGCTAATCAGCAAACCCTAATCAACTCTGAGAACTTAAAAAATATTTTAAAACCCTGAATTAATAATTTAGAAACCCTAGAATGAAAAATTATAAGAGAAAAATCCTAGTTTTCGGTAATCGCAGTTTTAGCCCGGTATCTTGCCTTTTGTTGCGAATCGGCACTACGTGGCCTGAATTATTTTTCCTATCATTATTTTATTAATTATATAACTTAAACATATGTTTTATTTCAAAATTTCCGATTGTACCATTTTCTTTATTAATTATTGCATTTTGGCCCCAAAACCTTAATATTTTATTCAATAAAGGTACAACCAATATTTTATTAATTTATAAAAAATATCCTCTATATTTTATTAACAAAAAATCAAATTTTCTCATGGGTAAATAGGGTAGCTAGCTATAGGTGGTGAAAAGGACCTAGAAGTGTATTTTTTATTCATAGCAAATCTTGTACATAAATGCAACAAATCTTTGACCATCATGGAGGAATGGGGGGCATTTATTGTTATATCTTTTTTGTCTCCCAATTAACTAGTAAATAGGATTACCTTCTCTTAATCAAGATTGATTAACACAAATCTTAATTGGATTCAATTACAAACCAACCAAACTTGAATAGTTTCTATTGAAAATCAACCGAACCAAACCAACTCTTCTCTCTCCTCCTTGGACTATAAATACAATCCTTGCTAGATATTGTATTTCACTCCATACACACACAACACACAACTGAGAGAGGAGGAAAGGGAGAGCAAGTGAGCTTGAGAGAAAAAGAGAAGAAAAGAGAGCAACAAGTAGGAAAAAGATCTAGCAAACCAAGGTAAATCTCATACACCTCTCCTCTCAATGAATCATCATGTTTTTCCCCTTCATAATACATGCTAAAAATATATTTCACATGATATTAAAAGTTACTACATTACTAGATGATGTATGGTTTGAAAATGAAATGTCTCTCTTCTTCCTTGCAATTTCTAGCAAGCTTTTCTCAAGGTTTTTGATTTTATTTCCATAGCAAACCTTCACCAACTCAAAATCTGTTTTAAAGGGGTATTAATTGACATATTTAGAGTATGATAAAATTTTGGCTAAGACCCTGAATGTGTTTTTATGACCTCTTTTATTTTTCTAAATACTTGCTGCAAAGAACCTGTTAAAATAGAGGACTTTGGAAAATTCTAGAAAATTTACATAAAAATGGTATCACGTTCATTTTTACATCAAAATCTTCCTCTGAAGGTTATCTTTCAAATAAAATTTATTTCAATGAAAATGAATGAGTATTTTAAGAGAAACACCAAATTTTGTAACAGTTGTCAAATCTGGATAAAGTCTGTGTATTTCTTAAATATCTAAAAATAAAAAAGGGCCGCCCTACTTCCGTAAAATGGTTCTGAAACTAGTCTTGATTCTCTACAAATCCTCCAGAAGCCACATTTCTGAAACCCTTAAAAAATAATTTTTTACATATTTTTGAACCGGTGCAGTGCTGAAAATCTGAACAATGCGGTTCTTGTTGTAGTTAATGCTTTTGTGCTATCATGACATATTGTTGTAATATATGTTATACTTTCATGCTTGAGTTTCACCTTGAATGGCCTTATTTTGTTCTTACCTGTGCTAACCGCTAATGTGTAATACACTTAATGTGAAAAAGGAAAAACTAAATGGGTTGATAAAGAGGTTTAACGACCACACTAGTCATACATCATAAATGATGAGAATGTTAAGTTGATATTAGTAGTGGATTAAAATGAGTAAGTCTTGCGCAACTGGTTGTTCGGAACCTTTGAATAGAGTGGTTGTATTCGGACCCTAGGTAGTTCAGTGTAAGGAGGGATTTGGGCTAGGCCCATCATTACTGTCTCTTTTGAGGCCCTCGATTGGCGCTATGCGGTATATAACCGTTAGTAGGCATTTGAGGTAAGGTCTGCAACAAAGCAGCAAAAGAGCGGGCATATCGAATAATCCTCATCCAATTCTTGGAGTTAGGAGGACGAAATCTCTTTGGGGGATTTCTAGACAGTTAACAACTAATGATATAATCTGTGCTATGAACTTAAATGCCATGATCCTTTCCTTTGTCTTTTAAGGGATGGGGTGTGTGTGCGTTTACTGGGCATTAAAAGCTCACGATGTATTATGCCAGGTGCTGAAGAAGAGCTTATAATAGGAGACGACGAGCCGGAAACCTTTGAAGACATTTGGCTATCTTAGAAAAGTTAGAAATTTCCCTTTTGATGTTTTGTAAGGCTCATATGAAAATTTAAATTTTCTTTTGGGATGTAATGTAATGGAACGGGCTTTTGTAATTAAGGATATTCATAATTATTCTGTTATTATGTACTTATATTCGAACACCAATATAACCCCTGACGTCGCTTACGAGACCTTGTGTTAATGCCTTTTAAGATCTGTCAAAAAGGTTGTGCGCTACCTAAAAAAGCTGGATTTAGAAGGGAGGCTAATTTGACTCCTCCGGCGATCTAGGATCTTACTTGGTTATTGACCATAGGACTCATTAGTGACTTTCCCTTGACTACAACCAATAGTGTAGATTTGGGACATCACAATTTGGTATTAGAGCCAAGGTTCAACCCTTAGCTCGCGTAACCCAATACGCGACTCTCGAAACCCTCACCCGTTTACATTATTGTATTTTACTATCACACTATTACATTTAAAAGGGACTAATAATTAAAATCCTTTCCCTTTACCCTAGGATGTCGTCAGAAAGCTGCCAGACAACCGACATCAGTCTCGACAAGTGGGGAGCATTCAGCATGCAAGGCAGGAGGGCCCTGTCCTTTAATACTTACTTCAGCCGTCGAAGGTGTGAATTCGCCGCCGAGGAGATGATCATCAAGGAGATACGAAAGGTGGAAACAGATTACTCTTATTACATGAGGGAACAAAAGAGGTCCTTGGTTCGACGATGCCTACAATACCTAAGTCATGCAGCAAGGAGTGCAGTCTGAAAAGAGTAGGATGACCATAAAATGGACTCTCTAATGCACCGAGTCTTAGCAGGAGAAGCACTGCACCAATTTCCAGCGGAAAGTGGCGAGTCTCATTATCTTGGGCAAAACGACAATCAACCAATGGAGGTAGAGCAACCACCAGTACAACCAGGAATAACTCCAACCTTCGCAATTGAGGTGTCATCTTAACATGTCCCCCTTTCGCCGATATATACGCCCCACTCCCTTGGCCAAGAAACCGACTCAGTTGATGAGGACCCTGAAGAAGACTTTGATTGGTCGGGAAATGAGGGTTAATCTAGGGATAGTAGGCTAGACTTTTTGTAAGATCCACTCATATGGGTCTTTAAAATGTATGTAGTAACTTTGTGACCTTGGTGTGTGTAACGCTTTTGAATGAAACTATGCTGGAAGCCTTTTGTACTGATGCCTAATATAATGAAATGATGACTTGTTCTATATCTATTGACTGTTACTGGTTTTAATATTCATCACACCCTAAGAAAACTATACCTTAATTTCTAATCTTATAAAAAGATTACCTTTAGTTAGAAATTTAGAAGTCAACTTACCCCGTACCATGAACAGAATAGTGGATATGCGAGCTAATGACTATTTAGAAACTAACAACAATGCTCGGGATTGTCCCAAAAATTAGCATGGACCCGTACCCGTGGGAGCCAGTATCCCTAATAATCTTGGGCATCAAATTCTGGAGGAATTGGGGAAACTAAGGAACAATTGGCAAAACAAGAGGACTCGACTCGTTTTGGAGTTTAGAAAACAAAGGCCCCTGAAGTTCACAAGAGTACCAGACCTGAAGGTGGCTGAGAATTGGCTTCGACAGATAGAGAAGATGCTAGAAACTATGGGAATAACCGAAGATGTTGATAGAATAGCCTTGGCCGTATTCGAGCTTGATGATGAGGCTGATCATTGGTGGGAACTAATCAAGAATACGCGTGACGTTACCAACATGTCGTGGAACCAGTTTAAGGAATTGTTCCTGAATAAATACTTTCCAAGTACAGTTCGTTGAGAGCGAGTCAGGGAATTCCAAAACCTGGAGCAAGGGATTATGACCGTAACCTAATACGTTGCAAAATTTGAAGAGTTAGCCCATTACGCAACTAGATATGTAGAAAATGACGAAGAGAAAACAAGGATGTTCGAGTGGGGGTTGGACCTTACAATTAGGGGAAGAGTTCTCCCGTAACGACTCCACTTGTATGTCGAGGTGTTGGAGACGGCATTAGAATCTGAAAGGGAAGTACCCGATGCTAGGAAGACTTGGAACAAGCGGAAAGGGGGTCAGACATCTGTTGGACCTCAGAGGAACCAGAAAGGGAATATGGCTTTGAAGCCCTACACCAGACCACAACCATAACAACAACAGCAACAATCGCAGCAACAGATCCAGAGAGGTGGCTATCAACCAAGGCTGGCAGGACAACTCTAGTGTTTTCATTGCCAACAATTGGGGAACAAAAAGAGTGAATGCCCCCAACTCCCTCCAACCGGATACCAGGAAGGAGGTTCCAGAGCAAATGCCCAAGCATTAGGTGGATAGAAGCCTTGGACAAACAAGACAGGACCTACTGGGCAACAGCACCAGAAGAGCG